GGAGAAGACTGCTGTCTTTCTTCCAAAGAGCAGCTGATGCATTCAAACCAGATACATAAGGTCTTTTGGTTAGCAGTGCCAGACACCACAGACTTATTCTGTTAATACTGCAGATAATAGTATCAACTCTGTAAACTAATTTTCATTTCCTTAAATATTTATTTTTACTAGTATCCTTTATAGATAAAATTTTTAAATATGGTAAGTTGCTGGGTTTTTTAAATTAGTCTTTTAACAAATAAGCACTGGCATTCCTACAGACTCAGCAGCAAAGTGTCTCTCTTTATGGAGCTAACTTTCTAATAAATATCAATTTTGGTAGGGCCCATCTTTATACTTTTATTAAAGAACAAGCCAAACTCTTATTCCTTCCAAGGCCTATCCCTTGAATGATAGCTCGTAAATTCCAAATTTTTGATTGAAGCCTTCTTTCACCACTTAGAAAGGATCTCTCCAATGTGTGTTGCTAAAAGTCACACTTTAATAAAAGAAATATCACACTACTGCTTCTTCCCAGTATACAATGTCCAGTGAGATTGTAGTTGTGAGGTAGAATGAACACTGTACCACAGGCATCATATTTGTACAATTTATCTCTAGTAATGTCATGATGTTAAAGATTTGAGTCATAACTGGAGGACTTAACATGTACATGGTTTCTTTCCTGTGTGGACTGGCCAATCTTGTTAAGTTTTTCTATATTTGTAGTCCTTCCTACATGATGCCTACATTTATATACATTAGTAGAACTTTTCTTCATTTTGGATTCATCGGTGGGCTTAAATGTTTGAATTCTGACATAAATTCTTTCTACACTCTTCACATGTGAAAGGCTTCTTTCTGTGGACTCTTTCATGCTACACAAGTTGTGACGCCTGCCTACAACCCTTCCCACCCTCCTCATATTTGGTTGGTTTCTTTCCTTTATTGATTCTTTGTTGGACTTGACGATTTGGTCTAGTACTGAAGTATTTCTTATATTCTTCACATTATAATGGCTTTTTTCCCCCACTGTAGATTCTGTGAAGGACCAAAAATGGTGAAGTAACCCTGAAATCTTTGCCACAAAACTCATAATGATAGGATTTCTCCCCTGTGTAGATTCTGTAATGAATTTGAACATCTTCTCTACAACTAAAGTTGTTCTCATACTTGTCACGTCCTCATGGTTTTGATGGGTCTGGTGAACTTGAAGTCTCTCATTGAAATATTGCACACCCTCCACACACTTATAAGTTTCTTCTACATTGTAGATCTTCGAATGAATTTTAAGTAACAGTTATTTATGTAAATCTAAGCATTATGTGTTTGGGAGATTGTTGTTTTTATTTTGGTTGGATTTTTATTTTGTTTTGTTTGTCCCCTCAGAGTGTTACAATGCTACTCATACTCAGCTTATAGGTCTTATCACAGATCTTGACCTCACATATTTGTGGATTTCTCACTTTCCTTTATATGAACTAGTAGTCTTTTACACCTGAAGTCTGTTTTCTACTTGAATGTATGTCTTCGTTGTTGACTTTCATTCTTTTCATAATTTTTTTTTCATTTGCTGAGGTCACTTTTAAATTTGATCATTGTCCTTCAATTTGATCATTGTCCTTCATAGTCATAATGTCACCTTATTTGTTCTCATCCCTTTTAAATCTGTCAGTTGAAAGCAGCAACAGTAGGTATTTTGAAGGGAAACTCCACATGGTCCAAATATTATGACACACTGTGCAGGTTACAATGGTGATGCCATATCATCCTCTATAGCATAGTCACATACTCAGAGGAGGAGCCATAATGTTCATAGAGTAGCAGCTGGTGACATTCGGGAGGAGCTTGGCCCCCTCAGCCACACCGATCAGCAGCAGAAGTCATCTCCATCACAGTGAGAGATTAATGTTCTCTAAGGCACAGGTCTCCATCAATCTCAGGTGTCTGTACATAATCTATCTGCAGTACATCTCAGTGCACAGATTAAAAATCACCCAGGTAGGTCCAACATCTACTGTGGGAAGAACAAACTATGGGCCACTTATCCACTAAATGTTGCTCTCTTTTTTGGTTATAACAACTGGGGTAAGGTGCTGTGTGAATCATTGGTAAGAATGAGCATCAATCTTGCATGGTGCTTCTGGATGGATCTGAAGCATCAATCTTTAAGTTAGTAGTTAAATGAAAACTGTTTATGAGACTTGTTGTTATATTCCATCAACTGGCTTGTGACTCATAGTGATCCTAGGTACAACAGCTCTGAACCCTGCTCTATCTTGAACCAACTTCATTGTCTCTAATACACCTACCCCCATTACCTCAGTCACCAAGTCAATCCATCTCATCCAGGGTCTTCCTCTCTTGTGCTGTTCCTCCACCCTTCTAAGCATGATGTCAGTCTCCAAGGACTGATCCCTCCTTGAACATGTCCAAAGAATGTCAGGAGAGCTTCAAAGTCCTTGCCTCCAAAGAGCAGCCTGGCTTCACCCTCTCCAGGATGTTCTACTGGCAGTCCATGGTATATTAAATACTCTTTTCCAGCATCACAACTTAAGGACATCAATCCTTCTATCATCTTTAGTCAATGTCCAGCTTTCTGATGCATAGCAAGTAATTGTGAAGACCATGGCCTGGATCAGGCACACCCCAGTCTCTAGACTGACATCATTGCTCTTCAGTACTCTGGAAAGTTCCCTGAGAGCAAATTTTCTCAGTGAAATATGTCTTTTGATTTTCTCACTGCTGGTACCAAGCATGTTGATTTTAGAGCCAAGCAAGCTGAAGCTGTCAACAATCTCAGTCTCTTCACTGTCTATTATGATGCTGCCAACCAGCCCAGTGGTGAGAACCTTTGTTTTCTTGATGTTATGTTTCAATCTATATTGAAAGCTGTAGTCCTTGACCTTCTACAGCAAATACTTCAGGTTCTTCTCACTTAGAAGGCTTCTATTACTTAATTGTTTTTTATGGACAATTAAATAGGAACCAATTCATAACTGACCCTCTAGTCTGTTTTCAGATGCAGTAAATTACATGAGAGGAGACTGCCATCTTTATCCCATGAAGCAGCTGGTTGACTTAGTTGGCAGTGCAACTCCTCACCACTAAGTCATCCCTATATCCCTTGTCTTTGATGCTATTCTGTGCAACTGAACTGGAACCAACTCATAGCTGACCCTCCAGTGGGTTTTCAGAGCTGCTTATTACATGGGAGGAGACTGATCATCTTTCTACCGCAGAGTAGCCCGTAGATTCAAACTGTGTGCCTTTGGGATTGCAGTGGAGCTTCTTACCACTTGACCATCAGTATTCCAAGTTTTACTTAATACATGGTCTAAATTTCAGACCGCAAATTCAGCTGAGCAAGAGTGTTATCTAGAATGTTGTCTTTATTATCTATCACTGAACTTAATTTCTATTCTGAGTTGTGTACCATTGGATGGTGGAAATGGAATTAGGCAGCTGATAGCTTCCCATTCCAAGATCTCGCTGGTTGTCAGTTGTAAGTGGGAGTCTGTGCATATATCTGATAGAGTCAATGTCACCTATCCATCCACAAAGGCCTGTGTTAGGAAGTCCATCATTCTGCCTGACTGCTGACCCTTGTTCTTAGCAAATAACTCCTGGTTCTCTTCATCTGGACTGCAGGACTTCTTTAGGTCTGCCCCCTCCTCCCAGTGTTTTCCAAGTTCTTCAGAACAAAAGAGCCTGGAAGGATATTGTGACTCTTTACTTCCTCTATATTGTATTCCGAGGCAAAGGAGGTTCCCTCAGACCTATGGCCCAATCTTCTCATAGACCCTTGTGCCTTTGTGCTCCTACCTACATTAAAAGATTCTTGGAGAGATCGTGGGGCCTTCCCATTTTCCTAAGCTTCATGCTGAAACAAAGAGTTGGTTCTCTGAATGCAGGGATTCTCTGAAACTGGGGGGATTCTGTAAGTGGACACATGTGCACACACGGCTTGGGGTCATGCACACACTAACTCACATGCACAGCCTTTACTCAGATCTAATCTTTTTTCCAAGATCTAATATCTTTTCTCCCTCACTGGGATGGTGGGGTGGGTGGGTGCTTGTGCTGAGAGAATATGGTATGCGTTCTCTTGTTTAAACATTCTTCAAATTTTTTTCTTTATGGCATGTTCCCAATTATTCACAATTTAGGCTTTTGAAGCTAAAAACTATCTTGTTGAAACTTACAATGCTTGTCTCTGTTTCTCTTATTAATCACCCCTCCCCTGGGGGCAATGAATACTGCCAACTGAATAGAGGATCTGGTGGTACAGAGGTTAAACCTAAATTGCTAACTGATTAGTTGATGGTTTGCCAATCTCCAGCAGGAAGATGGGGCAATCTGTTTCTGTAAAGAAGTGTAGCCTTGAAAGCCCTCTGAGGTGGTTCTCCTCTGTCCTATCCAGTTGCTAATGAGTCAAAATCAGCCCAACAGCAACAGCTTTGGTTGCAATTTACAACAAAATGATGAGAGAAGAAAAACCCCCGGCTAATTATCTGTCTCAAAGCCTTCTCCAATCATACTAGTAACTCATTAAATCAGACACTTATCTTGAATGTCTTAAGAATTCCAAGTTGTAAAAAACTAAGAGTTCTGTTTACATGCTCACAAAACCAAAGGCCATAGAGCTAACATTATGGGGAACACACATAAATAGTAAATCATCCATCCAAAGAGATGGCAAAGGCACAGTGAGGCACCAGGCAGGGCCCCTCTGCTCCAGGGTGGAGCCTCCTGACCCAAGGTTGGTCAATATTCCCATGCCTTCAAGTAAGAACCAGTCAGTTCGTGTGAACTTTTCATTTCCTTATACAAAGTATTATTGTTTTCTTAGCGTAAGCTGTTTTGTGGCTGGGGTTGTCTTCTGACTCATTTCATAAAATAATCATATAATTGAGGACAAGCATGCCTAAGTTATCCTCAGGGGACTGTAGAACTTTCTGCTTTCCTTCTTAGGAGCTATGTGTGCAGGGATTACTCAGTTTCCTTCATTCTTCTTGCAGATGGCTATGAGTTCCTGGAGATACTGAAACAGGTCGCCCGGGACAATACTGACAACCCTGATCTAAGCATTGTGTGGATTGACCCAGATGACTTTCCTCTGGTGAGTGGCTCAGGCCAATGCCTCATCTTTGATTCTTTTCACAACTCCATATTTGTGTTTGGTGTGAGACCTGGGAACATGAGGAGAAGGTGAGGGAGGTAGAGGCACTGACAGGAACCTGGGGACACCCACAGGCACTTGGTCTGGATCACTGGGGCAGCACAGCCTTGAACTTAAGGCCTGGCTGCTGTTCTCACTCTTTGTAACCTGTTGAGGGGCCCTTCCTAGTGAGCTGGATGACTTTCTTCTTCCAACAGTTCTATAGCAACCCTTCCCTCCACTTCCTATAGTTGCCTTTTCTACCTAAGTGACTGTTACCTAACTCATGACAATCAATGCACAAAGGAATGAAATATTGCCTGTCCTGCATCAACCCCATGATCAGTGCAGATCAGACTGTTGTGATGAATAGGATTTCCACTGACTGATTTTCAGAAGCCTTTCTTCTCAGTCCATCTTAGTCTGGAAGCTCCACTGGGACATGTTCAGCCTCCCCTGATGGACAAATGTTGGCTGTTCATGAGGTGCACTGACCAGGAATTGAACCTGGGTCTCCCGGGTGGAGAGCAAGAATAACACCTTGAATCACCATTGTTCCCTCATTTTCAGAGTAGACGCTATCACCTCAGGCAACCTGAGTTACTAAGTAAGCAAACCCAATGATGAACCTTTCGCATAAAGTTAAAAGAATTCCATGGATAGAAGAGTAAGCTCTTTGAGGGGAGGCAATGTGTCTGTCTTGTTAAAAATCTTTAACCTTTACAAGACTAACTTAATTTTGCTTTAATTTTTTTGTTGTTGTTGAAACCATGTATTATAAGCAATGAAAGGCAGTTTGAATGAAATTTTTAAAATGAAGTAACCAGTGGGACACTAAACCCCAAAGGCTGACCACACAAGTGGGAACTATATGTCCCATGAGTCATGAAGTAGTTTAAATCCAAATTCTTGCTAGTGCAACCACAAGTGGTCAGATCAATCTTGATTATGCTTCACTAAAAAAAATAAATAGAATCTGGACATGAATCCTAAGTAAGGATAGTGAGTATAATATGTTTTGATGTATATGCATATTCCCCACATTCTTAAAGTTTGCTTTATGTCATTTTGCATAAAAGACTTATATTGGTACCAGGTTTTGATTATTGAAAGATATCTGAAGCAAGTTTTTGCTTTTACATAAACAAAGAGGAGAGGGAATGAAACTAGCTTCAGCATTGGTTTTACAACAAGCACCGAGGCAGCAGCACAGACACCAAGCACGGGAGTGGTGACCAGCCTCTGTCCTCTCTACACATGCACTGTTTCTACTTTTATGTATAGACTGTATCTTTATCACATCACTCCAACTTTTATTACATGTTAGTGTTATGTCAGTTTTTACATGCTATTTGGTAGGTAATATTCTGGGCCTCGGAATCCTCAAAAAATCTTCCCAAATAACTTACTGACAATTGCTTCTTTGCTTTATGCCATTTCAGCTTATCAAAGGTTTCGTAGAAAGGGTCTGCTTTCAGATAGCAGGGGAACCTGTGTACTTTATATCTGCAACTAGTGTAGGCACTTTTTTTTTTACAATGTTCTTTAATCCTCACAACCCCTTTTTGGGGTAGGTACCATCCCACTCCCCTGTTTACAGATGAAGAAAACGCTTAACAGCTGTAGAGGTTAAAGCTAGTGGATGTGGTTGATATTCCAGCTTGCTCTGTATGATGCAAAAGCTTAGACAATTAGTTGCTTTAGGTGAAGATTAACAGCTGGTGTTCAGTTTAAGTTTAGTTACCATTGGGTTATTAATGATCATTTTCTCATCTTCCAGAAATCATCATTAGCTACATTAATTATGACTAATCACCATGGCACATAACAACAGCAATCACCATGTGATTAAATTAGGCTGAAAGAATTTAGTGATGCCATTAGGATAGCTTCCTCTGTCTAAGGAAAGTAGTTGTTATGTGCTGTCGAGTCACCTGTGATTCATAGCGACCCTGTGTACAATAGCCCTAAACCCTGCTTTATCCTGTGCCAATCTCATTGTCTCTGATACACCTACCCCTACTACCCCAGTCACTGAATCAATCCATCTCATTGAGGATCTTCCTCTCCTGTGCTGTCCCTCCACCCTCCCAAGCATGGCGTCCCTTTCCAAGGACTGGTCCCTCCTTGCAATATGTTCATAGTATGTCAGATGAAGCTTCAGAATCCTTGCCTCCAAGGAGCAGTCTGGCTGCACCCTTTCCAGGATGAACCTGTTCATTCTCTTAGCAGTCCATGGTATACCCAATACTCTTCTCAAGCACCACAGCTCAAAGGCATCAATTCTCCTTCTATCATCCTTAGACATTGTCCAGCTTTCTGATTCATAGCAAGTAATTGCAAAGACTATGGCCTGTATCAGGCACACCTTAGTCTCCAGACCGACATCATTGCTCTTCAGTACTTTGGAGAAGTCTCTGGAAAGTACAAACCAAAATATTGACAGTTAAAATCTACCCATTGGCATCTTAGAAGATAGATGATAATCTATTCCCCATTATCAGCTATTCAGAACCTATGAAACACAGATCTATTCTGACACACATGGGGCCACCATGAGTTGGAATATATGCAACAGCAACTGATGAATGATCTTGGGGATCCTGATCCTCTGTTCTCTGTAGAGGATGGTGACTCAAAGGCAGAGATTGCAGTGACATCTAAGGTTAGTGTTTTAATTCTTGTTAATTATATTAACGCCAGGGCCATAAAGACCACATAGGCTATGATTGCTCTTTGTTGTTTCATCTACTTTTATCTGAATTATTCTGTTAGGCAAACTTGCAAATGGTCTGAAATTTGCCTAATTTACATGTTTGCCCAATTTTTTCAAGGGAGACACCTTAAAACTATTTCTGATCTACAAATTCCTAAATGGCACAGTTCTCTTTAGGACATGTAAGTTCCTGGGAGATTTTCTACCACTCACCATCTCCATTTTCTATGGCTCTAGAGACAAGAAAAACATTGACCAAGCACACCCACTCACATGCTATCCAGAGCTCCTTTAATACTACCCATCAGAAATTTGTCCAGGAGGAACTCAAACCCAACAAAATGTACAAGCCCTCTTACTTATTCATATGCCTACTTATGGTTTAAAATTACTTTTCTAGAAATCTCACATAGCAAGATGGTGCAAGGTTGTTGTTGTTGTTGTTAGGTGCCATTGAGTCAAGTACTAGTGACCCTATGAACAACAGATCTGAAGCTCCTCCTATCCTGTGCCATCCTCATATCTCTGATGCATTTGAACCCATTGCTGCAGTCACCCTGTCAATTCATCCCAATCCCAAAGGGGGGCTTCTTTTCTTTTGCTGACCCTCTACTCTTTCAAGCATGATATGTTTTCCCAAAGAATAACCTCTCCTAAAAACATGTACAATCTATGAGAGGAGAAGGCTTTCCACCCTTGCCTTTAAGGAGCACTCCAGCTGCACCTTATCCAAGACATTCATTCTTTTGGCATTCCATGGAATACTCTTCTCCAGCACCACGACTTGAAGGTATCAATTCTTCTGTAATCCTTATTCATTGTCTAGCTCTCAGATGTATAACAATTATGGTGCAAGATACTTTAAATATAAAATTGAGAGGCAAAGCAAAGGGTCTTCTCCATAGTTTCATATATAAATTATGAAAGAGCCACCAACAATTTGATTTTTTTTTACCATCAGTAATTTGAAAAACAACTTTGAGCATCTCTCCAACAGTCTTCCTTACAGTTCTAGAAGTTGTTTGTTGTTTTTCTCTACAAATGATAACTTTCATTTGTCATTATTTAAAGTTTCTATGTAAAGCAGATTCTTGAACTGGTGGCTCATAGCCATCTGCTTGTTCAACTTTAGCACCTGTCTCATCTCCAGTAGCTTTTCCAGAGCTACCACCTTCACTATGAAGCTCCATGAGTCTTCCCAATGCAAACTTGGGCTTCTTTAGCAAATGTCTGTGTTTAATTTATTATGCAAAGGCATTTGACTGTGTGGATCACAACAAACTGTGGCTGACATTGAGAACAATGGGAATCCCAGAACATTTGATTGTGCTTCTGCAAAACATATACTTGGACCAGGAAGAAGTGATCAGAAAAGAGCAAGGAGATACTGCATGGCTCAAAATCAGGAAGGGTTTATGCCAGGGATACATCCTGTCTCCATATATTTTCAATCTGTATGAAGAACAGATCATTCAGGAAGCAGGGCTTTATGAGGAGGAATGTGGTCTCAGGATTGGAGGAAGATTTGTCAACAACCTGTGTAGTGCAGATGACACAATTCTGCTTGTTACAGCTGAGGAGGACCTGAAGTGCTTGCTGCCTCAATATGGATTGAAGCTCAACATCAAGAAATCAAAGATTCTCACCACTGGGCCGATTGACAGCATTATGATAGATGGTGAAGAGACTGAGATAGTTAACAGCTTTAACTTGCTTGTCTCCACAATCAACACTCTTGGTACAAGCAGCCAGGAAATCAAAAGATGAACTGCATTGGGAAAGTAGGCTGTCAGGGACCTCTCCAGAGTACTGAAGAACAACAATGTTAGTCTGGAGACTAAGGTGTGCCTGGTCCAAGCCACAGTCTTTGTAATTGCTTGCTTTGGCATCAGAAAGCTGGACAATGTCTTTGAGCTGTGGTGCTGGAGAAGAATATGAAATATACCATAGACTGCTAGGAGAACAAACAGGTTTGTCTGAGAGAGGGTGAAAACAGGCTGCTTCATGGAGGCAAAGATTCTGAAGCTTCATCTGACATACTCTGGGCATGTTGCAAAGAGGGACCAGTCCTTGGAGAGGTACATCATGCTTGGAAGAGGGGAGGGACAGAGAAAGAAAGGAAGACCATTGATGAGATGGGTTGATTTAGTGACTGGGGTAATGAGGGTAGGTGTGTACAAGACAGTAAAGTTGGCTCAGGATAGAGCAAGTTTCAGGGTGTTGTACATAGGGTTGCTATGAGTTGCAAGCAATTCAAGGGCATATAACAACAACAACTAATACATCATGGAGAGGGTAAATAGACTGGTAAGCCTTTTCTTTGTCTTTCCAACTGCTGTCTGGAATCCACATATTGACCACTTCTTTTAAGTAATTTGTCTCTACGTTTTGGGTCATGATTTTCATCATTTTCTTCCAAATTTGGTGGATCTGTTGGTGCTGAGCATAAGAGGTCTTCCAAATTTGATTGTTGCATGTTTTTGTGAAACACAGAACAGACAAGCAAATAACCATTGGTAGTCTTGACATCAACATGAGCTTCAGTCATGGTCTATTTTTTGACCATGAAGCACATTTTGTTACAAGTACGATCTGTGCCATGGAAGTTGGTGAAGAAGTTTTTGTCTTGAACATCCTCAGTAATTAGCTTTAATTTTCTAAACACAGCCTCATTGTTTTGCAAATCAGCAGGGCTCAAAAAAGTGTAAGTCATGAAAACATGACCCTTGAGTCAATCAGACTCAATCTTGGTTTCTCGAGTCCTTGTGACTAGTGTCTTCCCAACATTTCTTATAGTGAACATAGCTGGTGCCTTTATATCATACCAATCTTTCTTTGAAAAGGGATCAACTACTTTCTTCTTGGCTCCTTTTTTGCCGCCTTTTGTAAGCGGCTTGTTCTTGCCAACCACCACCAGGTTGGTGCTCAGACAGCCAAAAGGGTGGAAGTGTTATTGTAGAAGTTTTGTTGTGTGTTTTGATTATCTGTACTCTGACATCTTTTTGTTGTTGTTGTTTTAATGCTTGTTTAAATTGTTTGAGAGTTGAGGCCAAGTCTTCAATTTCATAAGTGCCTGCAGCTGTTTTGCAAACTTTTAACCAATGATGACCTAGTTACTGTGATGAGATGACAGGTGGGTCCAGTCACAAAGTGACTTTAACAAGAAATGCTCTTGGCCTGCTGTCTAATTTATTCTTTGTTGCTGCAGCTCATTGCCTACTGGGAAAAGACTTTCAAGATTGACCTGTTCAGGCCACAGATTGGAGTGGTGAATGTAACAGATGTGAGTATCCCCATGAAAGTTTGCTTGGGCACCCTCAGTCTGCCCTTTTTTCTCCTCTGTAGCCTGGACTGTGAAGATTGTACAGAAGAATTTAGGCCCTACGGACAATGGCGGGACCCTAGCCTTACTTGCGCTCAGGAAATTTGCCACGCAGTCCTTACCTGGTTTGTGAACCAGTCCCCATCTAGTTCCATGACGCATTTCTTAACTATATTCTAACCTAATTCACCGTTTGTTGGTGAGTTCCATTTGGTATGTTTATTTAAGTAAGCATTGTGGGAGCTGCCATTACACAATATTTACTGAGGTCATTTGTATCCCAGAAGCCCACGCAGTCAACTGCCCCAAAGCCAGGATGCTAGGCAAGAGAGAAGGACCGTAGAAAGAAAGAGTGAGAGTCAGAATAGGGGCATTTCCCCTACTATTCAGGCATCATTGAGCTGAGGCTGGTAAAGGCTACTGTGATGGGCTGGCAGAATGAGAGGAATTGTGGATCCCAGTCTCCATATCTGATCCAGCTCCATGGTAAAAAAACTGGAGGATAAGAGACATAAGCAGGCAAATGATGAACAGAAACTGATGATAGTGAAGATTCTCTAGAGCCATGATAAATTGTGAATGAATGAAGACAGTTATCATTATTCCTTTATTATCTTAGTAGCTATGTAGCTACGTGGAGGGCTAACCATTCATTTCTTTTTAAACTACTTTTTTCAAATAATAGTAAGAATAAAACTGTGTTGTTGTTACGTACCATCAAGTCACTTGCGACTCATAGCCACACTATGTACAACAGTTCTGAAGCCTGCCTTGTCCTGAGCCAGTCTCTCTGACTCCACCAAACCTACCCCCCCATTATTGCTCTAGTTACTGTATCAATCCATCTCTTCTGAGGTCTTCCTCTCCTGGGCTGTCGCTCCACCCTTCCCTTCTGTTGCTCCAGATATAAACCATTTTAAAACAGAAATGTAAGATCTAGGACAAAAAGGAAAATTACTGAACCTCATCCATTGTCCCATTCCCTGGGGGAATGAATCATTGTGGTAGTTTCATGTGTAACTTACTAGAAGCTTCAAACATATACTCTAGAATACACATGTTCTTTTATATTAAACAACCAAAATTCTTACACATACAATTTTGCAATTTGACATTTCCATTTAACAATATGCACACATCCATAACAAATATGTGGCCTCTGGGCCTGCTCAGCCTAGTTACTTGGGGCTCTCTCTGATAGTTCATCCTCCACACACTCCCTTCCTCCCTCCATTATTCTGTCCCTCACTGCAGGCTGACAGCATCTGGATGGAGATTCCAGATGACGACGACCTACCCACAGCTGAAGAGCTGGAAGACTGGATAGAGGATGTGCTTTCTGGAAAGATAAACACTGAGGATGATGATAACGAAGACGATGATGATGAAGATGATGAGGATAACAATGACGATGAAGATGATGATAATTCTGATGAAGAGGATGATGATGGCAGTGATGATGATGAATAGCCCCCAATTCCAAAGGACTCTGATGAAAATGCAATCACTTCTACCCACTATCATGCAGACAGCAAAGGGTAGCCGTTACAGCCATGTCCCATGCCCAGCCAGCTCCTTTCTCTTCTCTAACATTGCTTTTCCCCACTCTTGTCTTCAAGAGCAGTACAGTTCAACAAATATTGCCTTGATAACTCCAACAAATCCCACGCAGCAGGGCCTGGAAGGGAATTCCTGCCACATTGACTGTCTTGACTGCATGAAGCTTCTCTTGTTCTTTGCCAGATCATTAAGGGTCTTGGAAAGGCCAGAGTCTGAGAAGAGTCCTCTAACAAGTTTACTTATTTATTACTATGACAGTGATAGATTGAAAGCTTACTAACTCACAAGGATGTCCTGACCTTCCAAACAGAACCCAGGGAACAAAGACAATGAACCCATTTAGCATCTGTACCCAGAACATCAGTTAGGATCTCATTTCAAGCCCAGGGGATCCTTGTTGGGGAAGGTTCAGCCTTGGACACAAATGTGTAAATCAGCTTATCTTATAGCTCTATCAAACTTATTCTTTACACTGGAGGTTCAGATGATTATGAACTCAGATCCAAGCCTTTGGGCAGCTCATGAAGGTCCTTGATACATCTGTGTACATGTGTCACCCTCATCTCTAGAAAATCAGAATACTGGGTGGAAGGGTTGATTTACTGTCTGAATTTCTCTCTAGATAACACACACATGAAGAGGTGGGAGCTGGAGGGATTAAACGTTTTTCATTTTGCTGATGAATTTTTGTTTTTGACTGGGTCAACTGGGTTCCGAGCCTCACTGGGATCTGGTTGTCCCTTCTGTTCTTGGTAATGAGCATTTCCATTCAGAGTAAAGGTGGGCTTTCTCATGGGTCAAGTAACTCTCTGTTTATCAGCTGCCCGGAGATGACCAGTGCAAGAACAATCAGAGTTCATAATGATGCCCTGAGGCACTGAAGAAAAATCCCAAAGTGCCTTCTGAATTCTCATTAAAGTCCTGCTTGGTAGTTTTAGCATTAAGTGTGCATTATAATGTTCTAATTTATTCTCTTTCTTTTGACACATGTTTAAGATGCTGTGAAAATTATTTGAAAATAGGACAATCATTTTATGGAATAGAATGAACTAACCCGACCATTAAACTTGTTTTTTGAAAACGTTGAGACATTCGAAATTCCTCTTTCCAGTCTTTTGGTCCTGTTCATTCTGAAAGTATCTGGCCCCTGTCCTACCTCTCTGTTTGTTTTCCTCTGATCCTTCTTCTTTTGCCTGGCTTCAAAATGTGGACATTTTAGTTTCTCTTTGGATTCCACACACATTTTCAAGGCAATATTATCTCAGCTCATAAACCATCACCTATATGCTAATGATCTCCAAATTTGAGTTTCTAGTGTCAACATCTCTCCTTGGCTTTGTTGTTGTTGTGTTTCCTCTGTTGGAACAGACTTAAAGCTGGTCCTCCAGTAGGTTTTCAGAGGCTAAAAAGTGTATGGAAAGAGAGAAGATTGTCCATCTTTCTTCCAAGAAGCAGTTGGTGGATTTGAACCCCATGCCTTTGGGTTGGCAGGGCAACTTCTCACCACTAAGCCAACAGTGTTCCTTGGTCTTAGACTAAGTAATTCAACTACCTCTAGACATACTGGATTTTATAATATTCCACAAACAATTCAAATTCAATACTACAATGGCCAAATCTATTAGATTTCCCTCTAAATTTATTCTTTTCCTCTTCATAGAGTCCCAGATTGTGCAAGTAACACCATTCTATATCCACTTGCCCAGGTTACCCAAAGGTGCCCCTTTCACCTCTACTTTCACAGCATTTTGTGCATATCATGCATCTTGGCACTTACAATTTGAATTGTAACTTATATTTACCTAAATTGTAGACTCCTTGGAGGCAAGACATTTGCTTATCTTTGTATCCTTATCAGCCAATAGTTTGTCTAGCATAAATTAGATATTCATTTATTGAGTATAGTTGGATGCAGATGGATGAATAGTTGATTAAGCAGAATATTTAGAACTCCCTTGCACTGCCAAGTATTCCAGTTTATAGTATCTCCCCCCTCACAAAGCAAAACAGGTGTGTCCTCAATTGGGTAGTGCTGCTTGCCAGGCAGACTCTGCTGCACTATAAATAAGCTCTATGGGAAGCAAAGTTTCAAAGCAATCCTGAAACTAACCATATAAATAGACAAGGAGTGTGATCCATCAGGAAAGTGAGAGCGTTCCCTCATCCTCAGGGGTCTCAGTAATATGTATTAAGTCTAACTCACATTGTGCTGTCTCTATGTTAGATGCAGGGCTTCTAAACACATTCAAATGGTGAAATCTTCTTTTAAAATTTGGGTGAATTAGAATGATAACTAAAATAGGTCAAAGTCCTGGAATAGGAGACTTGGAAGGGTCCATTCAGTAGTCTGATGCAGGAGAGGGAGTCAATGCTAAGACTGAAGAAGACAATACGCATTCAAAATGACTTGGTCAGCTGCCATCTTTGAGCATGTCACTGCTCTTTCCAACTCTGCCTGTCAAGAGCTATGGTTGCTATGCAATGTGCATACTGCCTTTGTTTTGTAAGGGGAAGATCATGTTTTTACTAGGGTGTTGACCTATCATTTTCCCCATTCCAATTATAATTCCAGTTCACCCACATTTTACAAATTTGGGCCTGTTCCAATTTCACTTTGTCTGCCATGACTGGTTGAACCAGGAAGAACAGGTTGGAAGCCCGGTTAGGAGGACCGGGTGTTAAGCTGATGCTGTCTGTAAGTAGTAGTACTGCTTAGTTATTGGTCTAAAATATTTTAAGCTGATTATTTACGGAACATTTGTTACATGCCAGGAGCACTGGGCTCTACATTTAATCCTCATTTTCTCATTTAATCCTCACAATGGTTTTATGAGGTGGGTCCTTTTATCCTCATTTTACAGATGATGAAACTTAGAGAAACACAGAAAGATCAAGTAATTATCCCAGGATCACACAAACACTTTAAGGGATATAAATGTAACCTCATTTTTACACTAAAACCAACCAGTGGATTTATCCTATCCACCACCACCCCCAACCTGCCCCATCAGATAGCCCAGAGATGGATACAGTGAATTTCCCATAATTCTCTTTACTACTTGAACCAGAGAGATCTATCTAGATATAACCACCAAACCTACTGAAAAATCAGATACATTTTCATGTTTTCCATAACATCAGTATATTTAAAGGCTCTTGCATGAGGACACTCAGACACCAACAGGAAATCCGTGTCTCCTATGAGGAAGCAGGGACTTTGCCCATGCCCACAGCAACTGGGTAGCTGTATGTCTGGCACTGGGGAGAGGAGAAGAAGTGAGGTATCAAAGACCCTTCCAAATCTCTGTAGTCCTTTCATGGCTAAGTGGTTTCTGGATGTTGTGAATGGTAAACACGTTGGTTGCTAAATGAAAGGCTATAGGCTTGAGCCCATTCAGGAATACCTCAAAGACTTTCAGACTACTTCTAACACATCAGCCACTGGCAGCAATATGGAGCACAGTGCTGACTGACACACATGGGATCACCTTGAGCCAGCAAAGATTCCACAACCATGGCTTTGGTTTGGTTTGTAAGTTAGAAATGAAAGAGAATTTTTTTATTTATGATTATTCAAACAAGGTTTTAATTATTTCTGTTTATTTGTGCAGGTATAAATTATGCATATTTTAGCAGAAAGCCTAAAGAAACAGCTTATCAGAAACCTAGACAAGGAATATTTTAAAATCAACTGCTTTCTCTAATCCCTATCTAGGTAACTGGGAACAATTTTATTTTGTTTTTTTACAATTTGTGCATATAAATCAGTATTATATGCAGGTAAAGATAGCTGTGCTTAGCTAAAGGCAAGCTCTACAGAGCCAGAAAGGACATCAGGCAAAATGAGTTGCTCTGGAGATAATGAACTCACTCTCCAACAAAGACAGTCTTCTTGCTGCCACAGGACCAGGCAGGGCAAGTTGCTCTCCCCTACCCTGGAGCAGTCAACTCCCCAGACAGAGTGACTTTTCCCAGCAGCCCCAGGACCAGAGAGGACTTCAGGCAGGCTAAAAGCAATATCAGAAGGAGACACAGGTGCACACTAGGACCAATAACCAAGATGTGAAGGGGAGCGGGGAGGAGAAGAGTCTCAGAAATGATTCCTGGGACTTTCCCAACGACCCTCAGAGGATTTGTCTGCTCAGAAGAAAAGTGCCCTCCACCTCCACACCCTGCTCCTCCACACTTCACATAATGTCAAGGAAGCAGCAAGCAAGATCAAACATTATTAAAAACCAAAACAACAACTCTTCTCCTAAAAAAAACAAACCAAATCAAGGACCCAATGAATACCTCAGAGAAAGGAAAGTAGAAGAAATATGCCAACATGGGTAAATCAGGAGCAAAAAAGGAAAAAATCATTACAAGACAGAGACGCTAGAACCAACACAGTACTAGAAGTCACAGAAAAGCATAGGAATAAAATCCAGAATAAAAGTATGGAGATATATCATGGAAAAATAGTAAGACTAAAATGGCAGAAATTCACAGTATGGCAGAAGTACATAAAAGCAGAATAGAGGAGATGGAACAGAGAATCAGTAAGATAGAAAACAAGAACGTTGGTGAAAATGTAAAAGAAAAGCAGCAAGAAAATAAAGGGAAAATGAATATTTTAATCATGTAGGATGACATCAAATAAAAATTGGAATTCCAGAACAGGAGAGTTAAGAAAAAGAAAAGAAAAAAAAAAAAGCATGGAGAAAATTGAGGAAGAAGTACTAAAAGAAAACTTTGCAGATACCATTAAACCCCCCTAAGAGAATGTGTAATTTGATGGGGGTGGGGGGATGGTGAAGGAAATTGGAAGAATCTGGTCTGAAAAACAATGTATTCAAATTTTATAAATAAACTAGTGTAAATTAAAAAACAAACAAAACCATCCTAGGAAATACCTATTCAAGAAGTTC